CTCTTTTGCTGACTTCGCGATCTATTCATGCTGCGACGCTCAATACACTCTATCGTCACATTACGATTCCTCACTCACGAATCTTCCGAAAGTTTCTTGCGACCATCACTGAGTACCCTGCTCTCGCCTCGATCGTGCGGCGGCTGGACTTTAGCCACTTCAACCCCTCCACCATTTTCTCGACTGCGAGCGAGCGAGCTCAGACTCGAAACTTGACCTCCGAGACCCTTCATAAATGTCTCGAGCTAACCCCATACCTACAGGAGTTCTTGGCCCAGGAGTACATCGATGAGGATCTTGGACCTGAGGTAGTCAAAAAGCTCTTTTTCGATATGCCCCGGCTCCAAGCCGTTGATTTCGCCGGCTGCTCCTCACCTTTCTTCAAGAACTCTTTCAACAGCCTCCTCCAGGAACAGTGGCCCGACTCTCTGACACTTACTCGCGTTTCGTTTCACAAGTGTCTGAACCTGCCAGGATCTGTTTTTGAGGCTATCCTACCTCGTCTTGAAAGAGCCACTCACCTCGATCTCGCTGGAACCAGAGTGACCGACAAGGCTCTACAGAGCTTGCCTGAGACGGCAAGACTCACTCATCTGAACTTGGCCAAGTGCCGTGAGCTCACCTCTGAGGTAGTTGTCAAGTTCATCACCACGCATCCTGCTATTACTCAGACCATAACTGTTCTGAGCCTTGCTACTAATGCCAGCAGCCACCTCCTGCTTGGCAAGGCTGACGTCGATGCTATCCTTCCTCGTCTGCCTCAAACAATCCGATCGCTGAGTCTCAAGGGTAGCAGAATGGATCCCTCCCAGCTTCCTCTGCTCACCCCTCTGGTCCAGCATCTTGAGGAGCTTGCTATCGGCCGAGGCCTCGATCTCCGCGATATTCATCAACTCCTGTACCAGGCTCAGGAGTGGATTCCTCACAGCCTCCGATACATTGATATCTCCGACTTGGACACTATCATTGGCAGTGCTAGCGCTCTTCTCACCCCCGCTTCTGCACCTTTGCAGGTTATCGAGCTCGAGGAGCGTGCATACGAACGCGCAGCCAAGGCGAAGAAGAACCTTGAGCGCGCTGGGTGGACTCCAAAGGAGTTCGGCAGCCGATACTGGCTAGTGCGCATGGAAACCGACCTCGATAGCGGCGCCCGGTGGTGGAAGCTGGGTGCTGAGAGCTGGGGCATGAGGAAGATCCCAGTCGCAAAGGCCGACGTCGGAGGTATGTATGGCACTTTTATGTTCGGCCGAAGGCTGTAAAGTGCCGGCCTCCGAGCTTGCATACATCACTTCGGTGAATTTCTCTACTCTCACATCATTTTCGGGTGTTTTTGTGTTGTTTTTTATGGTTAGATTTGGGTTGCATCTTGATCCGATTGATATCCCGGCGCATAGCGGTTGAAAATTAGCGTTAAAAGTAAAGTCATTTTGATGGAAAAAAGCGTTCTCAGGCATGCATATGACGAAGGAGAGAAAACTTGTAGATAATCAATAATGACTTTCATGAACACCTTTGAGATATGAATGAATGTGAATCTGTGATCATTTGTTTCTGTAATGACTCAATGGTTTGAGTAAAGTTGTATGCTTCACTTATGCGCGAGTTGCAAGTTGCTAGAGCTGGGCAACCTATCAGAACAAGATCAGACTATGCTTTTCACTAGGCGGAAACTTCTATGCATTTGTCTATCGAAGCAAGGGGTTATTATCGATACCAGATAAACTATTTAGAATATTTACCTCATTGATGTCGCTTCCATCCATGCATTGAGTGTGGCATGAAGCTTAATTGTGGCGTTTAGATAGACTTCGGTGGCTGGCTTGAAGAGTCACGTGGTATGAAACTCGGATCAACCAAGCCCCGTGGCAAAGACGGCCTCCTGCGACGTAACCGCGCCGAAGCGTGCCTTGCTTGCTCCTTGAATAAGCTCCAAATCAACGATTATACAGCTTTGGTGCTAGACGGCATCATGGCTCCCAAACCCGACACTCCGTTCCGCTCTGCGGACATGAGCATGGTCCAACTCTATGTTTCCAATGAAATCGGTCGCGAAGTTGTTACTGCGCTCGGAGAGCTTGGCCTCTGTCAGTTCCGCGATGTAGGCAAACCATTCATCAACCATCGCATCATCAACACAAGCTAATCCATCAATTCTTTACTACAGCTCAATGAGAATGTCAGCGCCTTTCAGCGTACATTCACTCAGGAGATTCGACGCCTCGATAATGTTGAGCGACAACTGCGTACGTCATCCATCGGGATCCACCAAAACAAATGAGTCTAACACATCGCAGGATACTTTTACGCTCAGATGGACAAGATTGGTATCCCGCTCCGGAAGCTGGACCTCGACGTCGAAAGACTTGCATCCCCATCAACTTCCGAGATCGACGAGCTTGCCGAGCGAAGTCAGAAGTTGGAGCAGCGTGTTTCCGCCCTTAACGAGAGTTACGAGACTTTGAAGAAGCGCGAGGGCGACCTGACCGAGTGGCGATGGGTTCTCCGCGAGGCCGGCAGCTTCTTTGACCGCGCTCATGGAAATGTCGAGGAGATTCGCGCTTCTACTGACAACGACGATGCTCCCCTGCTGTCCGACATCGAGCAGAACCAGAGTGGCGCCGATGCCGATCGCTCCTTCTCCGGCATGAACATTGGATTTGTTGCTGGAGTCATTGCTAGAGACAGGGTTGCTTCTTTTGAGCGCATCCTCTGGCGAACTCTGCGCGGTAACCTTTACATGAACCAGTCTGAGATTCCCGAGCCCTTGATTGACCCTACCAACAACGAGGCCATCAACAAGAACGTTTTCGTCATCTTTGCTCACGGTAAGGAGATTCTCAACAAGATCCGTAAGATCTCTGAGTCTATGGGCGCGGATGTTTACAACGTCGATGAGAACAGCGACCTCCGACGTGACCAGATTCACGAGGTCAACAATCGTCTCGAGGATGTCCAGAACGTTCTCCAGAACACCCAGGCTACTCTTCAGGCAGAGCTCAACCAGATCTCCCAGTCGCTCTCAGCCTGGATGGTTCTTGTCGCCAAGGAGAAGGCAGTGTATAATGCACTCAACAACTTCTCCTACGACAGCGCTCGACGTACTCTCATCGCCGAGGCTTGGGTTCCGACCAACGATCTTCCCCGTATCAGGACGACACTCCAGGAAGTTACTAACAGAGCTGGCCTCTCCGTCCCTTCCATTATCAACAAGATCCAGACCAACAAGACGCCACCGACTTACCTCAAGACAAACAAGTTTACTGAGGGTTTCCAGACCATCGTCAACGCTTACGGTACCGCCACTTACCAGGAAGTTAACCCGGCCATGCCCGTCTTTGTTACCTTCCCTTTCTTGTTTGCTGTCATGTTTGGTGATTTTGGCCACGCCATTATCATGCTTTCAGCCGCTCTCGCTATGATTTACTGGGAGAAGTCACTCAAGAAGGTCAGCTTCGAGCTCTTTGCCATGATCTTCTATGGCCGTTACATTGCCCTCGTCATGGCTGTCTTTTCTATCTTTACCGGTCTTGTCTACAACGATGTCTTCTCCATGTCCATGACTCTCTTCCCCAGCGCGTGGGAGTTCAAGAAGCCTGAACATTACACCAACAACACTTCTATTGTTGCCACTTTGAACGAAGACGGTTATCGATACCCCTTCGGTCTTGATTATGCTTGGCACGGTAGTGAGAACGACCTTCTCTTCAGCAACAGTTTGAAGATGAAGATGAGTATCATTCTGGGTTGGGCCCACATGACTTACTCTCTCTGCTTCTCGTACATCAACGCTCGCCACTTCAAGAAGCCTATCGATATCTGGGGTAACTTCATCCCTGGTATGATTTTCTTTCAGTCTATTTTCGGCTATCTTGTTCTCTGCATCATTTACAAGTGGTCTGTTGATTGGATAGGTATCCAACGTCAGCCTCCTGGTCTGCTCAATATGCTCATCTACATGTTCCTTCAGCCTGGAACTATCCCCGATGGCCAAGAGCTCTACTCCGGACAAGGTTTTGTCCAGGTTGTTCTCTTGCTTCTGGCGTTCGCTCAGGTCCCCGTTCTTCTCTTCCTCAAGCCTTTCTACCTTCGTTGGGAGAACAACCGCGCACGCGCCAAGGGTTACCGTAGTATAGGTGAAACTTCCCGGGTTAGTGCTTTGGATGGTGACGACGACGAGCCCAACGGCCACGGTAACAGCTTCGACGAGGATGGTGAGGGAGTTGCTATGATCTCTCAAAACATTGACGAGGAGCACGAGGAGTTTGAGTTTAGTGAAGTCATGATCCACCAGGTCATCCACACTATTGGTAAGTTATTTATTCACAATTGATGTTTCTATGCTGACAAATTTCCAGAATTCTGTCTCAACTGTGTCTCCCACACTGCTTCCTACCTCCGTCTCTGGGCCCTGTCCCTTGCTCATCAGCAACTCAGCATAGTACTCTGGTCCATGACTCTCGGTCCTGCCCTTAAGGCACCTGGCGTTATGGGTGTCATTATGATCGTTGTTTGCTTCACCATGTGGTTCTTCCTGAGTAAGTTGTATTCAATTCGAGAGACACCTGACGCTCGTGCTAACTTTGTCCAGCCATTACTATTCTCGTCTGTATGGAGGGTACCAGTGCCATGTTGCACTCCCTTCGTCTTGCTTGGGTCGAGTCGTTCTCCAAGTTTGCCGAGTTTGCGGGTTGGCCTTTTGCGCCTTTCTCGTTTGACACTCTGCTGGAAGAGTCGGAAGAGCTCAAGGACTACTTGGGTTAATTAGGGTAATTGGGAGGGTTGTTTATATCGCGGTGTCTGTTATAGCAGTAGACTTTGGTATTATTACTGTATCATTAAGTAGCATAGTGCACATTAGAAAGACTGGTTTTGCTGTGCTTATCTTGATTTAAAGACGTTATCTAACTACCATTTTGGTATTTGCCCATTCGTAGACAGGGGATTAAATCTGTACTGCATAACTTTACAATAACCAACCATCGTAACAGTGAAATCGCGCTTTAACCCCAGAGAGGTGCTGTCACCTCGATAGCCCTCTCTACAACAGCTCTCACTCGGTCAGCAAATACCTTATGGCTTGACTCGACCTCGAGATCCTCCAACCATACTGTGGCAGACATCTTGTCGACTTTGATCGATACTCCAGGAACTGGGATGCCAATCTTGTGCAATCGCTCAATTTCCTTTTGCTGTCTCTCCTGGAGTTGTGCGTCTTCGCCATCCTCCTCTACCTTCATGGCGTCTTCATCTTCGCCGTCCTTCTTGGGTTTGTCGTCTGCGCCTTCCAGCGTAGGCAGCTTAGGAATAGTAACAGGGGCGACATTGTCTTGGCCGAACTGGGCTTCGAGGAACCACAGGAGACGCTCGAGACGTTCCTCAGGGGTGGCGGAATGGTGAGGGTTCACTTCTGGGAGGTCGTGTGAGTGTGAGTGTTTCGCGGATGAGCGCTTGACCGCAGCGGGAGAGCTCTCGACAGAGAAAAGAACCGCCATGACGGAGTCGGCGATTCCATCGTTAAGCATGTTGCCCTCCCATTCAAGCTCAACTTCTCCGTTTGTTCGATATCGGACTGAAACACAACCCATGACCAGGTACGCTGCAACAAGGCTGCCAACCTCTTCATCCGCATCCTCTTGCTTCGCTTCGTCGCCATCCGTAATCATCTTATCAGCATGTCCATTATGTCCATTCTTTGCACGGCGCATTTCAGGAAGTTCCTCTATATTGCCAAAGGTACCCTCGAGAGCCCACCTGACAAGGTCAACACCCGCAGCACTGAGAGTAAGGCGCTGTTTGCAGGTGATAGTGGTAGTGTTGAGACCCGCGTATTCGCGGAGATCTTCGGGTGCCATGAGAGATAGCTTAAAATCATTTTGCACAAGCACACCAGTGACAAGAGGTGGCGTGGCGGTCTGATCAGGGTGAATGCTCTGAGGGGGCTGAATAGAGGCAAGCTTTCCTACGACCTTGGCCGTCTTGTCGGCTTTGAAGGGAATGCGTAGTTCCTCACAGTTACGGGGAGAGTAAACCTTGACTTTAGTGGTTTTGTTGGCGTTGAGTGATAGGAGCTTAGACTTGAGACGCATCATGTTGTGTTGCTCTCCATGGACAAGAATCTGATTGAGTTAGTTTGATGTTCATGTTAAGTCAAGATTAAAGGAGACTTACAACAACTGGTGCTTGAACCTCCTCGATAAATTCTCGGTTCTCGACGCCATCAACGTGAGCAGCGAACGAGTATTCCTGGACACTGCATCGTCGAGGAATAAGAACCTTCTCACCATCGCTGCCAGGCATACGCCGGGCACCGGCCATACTGCGAGACATGACGGCCTGGATTTGGTCAGGCTCCTGCATAATCTGCTTGGCCATAGTGCCTTCGACACTGTAACCAGTAATAATAACACCGTTCTTCTCGCTGGGCGCCCATCTTTCCAGTAGTTCACGGCTGACACCGTTCTGAAGCATACCGGGGCTAGCAAGCATAACACAACCGCCTACATCATCGAACCTGTCCAGGTTTTTGAGCGAACGGATGTACTTAAAATCCCATGGTCCGCCCTTGCCTGCACCATCACCAGATGCCTCGGCCTCGGCCATCCGCTCACGAAAGAGACGCTTAATATTGTCGTTCATGGCACCGACATATGTTTGGTAGATAAGCATACACTTCCTCGCAAGATTACTTGCGTAGTAGATAGGGTATTTCTGGAAGTCGGCATGCTTTCCCCAATACTCGTCGAGAATCAAAAGCAGCTCTTGGGCTCGTCCCAAAGCAAAGACTGGCATAAGCACTCGACCGCCTCTGTTGAGGATACTTGTGATTGATTTCATAAGGGCCTGTTCTCTTTCCAGACGAGGAACATGAGAGGCAATGCCATATGTAGACTCAGTGATGAGAACGTCAATTTTGACACCCTTGGGAACTTCTGCCGAGACAAGATGTCGATCTTGTTCGCGCGAGTAGTCACCTGTGAAGAAGATGTTGAGACCAGCAATCTCAATGAGAAACATGGCGGCACCGAGGACATGGCCGGCTGGGTAAGGGGTGATTCTGATGGAGGAGATGGTGTGAGTGGTGTGGTAGTCGATAGCCTCGATCTGAGGGAACGTGTTTAGATGGTCTTGCTCAGTGTAAACAGGCTGTGTGGTAGGATTGGATGAAGTGTTGCCAACTCGGACACTGTCCTGGATAAGCCATTTATAGATAGCCTTAGTGGGATGTGTCATGAAGACGCGGCCCCTGAAATTGGTCTTGGCGAGAACATATGGTAATGATGCCGCATGGTCAATATGGAAACTATGTCGGGTTAGCTGTAATTCTCAAGATGGCGTTTGGCTAACTATGAGTTTGGCGACTGGCGATTTCAGGACAGGACGGCATCACAAGGACGAATGGCAAGGGCGTAAGGAAAATGGGCAAAGACTGTATTGTATTGATATGGCATACAAAAAGCATAATCATGGATATAGACGTCACACACGCGCAATACTGGCCGTGACAATACAGAGTAGTGGTGTCCTGTACTGGACTGTCCGTTACATCGCATCACGAAATAACAAAACTTCGTTCCTCGCCCTGTCCAGCCTACGTATATCGTCGCGGGGGTGGAAAGAAGGGATCGCTTACTGGCTGATGAGGAGCACGTCGACAGTACTCAAATCAAAGTCGTCGTAGAAAGGCAACGCGGCGAGTCCATCATACGCAGGATGTTGACCGGCATCAAGCTAGCAATGGGTATTAGACCGGTTTGTGATAGACTGACTTATCGACCGCTTACCATGACTGTCTTTCCTTTGTACTGAATAATGTGGCATGACCTCCCGACTTCGTTTCCTCCTCCTAGGCAAAGAAACATAAGCTCATCCGACGGATCTACTGGTTCTTCGGCTGCAGCCGCGTTCATAGCTGCAGCTTTTCGTTTGGATGCCATTTCGAGGAGATGCCGAGCGGTAGCTCGATTCACATTCGGTGTTGGAAGCTTCTATATAGACAATCAGTAGAACGGCACTAAGCCACCGATAGCAATAACGTTATGATTCACAGACTGCGACAGTGATCACTAGCTGCAGCAATGTGAAGGTAGGTATGGATGAATGAATAGGCGGACAATAATGGCATAAACGCAGACGCGTTTGAACAATGAACGGATAAAAACCGGTCTTTTCTTTTTTTGGGGAGATAGCTATAGGTGTCAATAAAAAACAAACGCACACTATTAGGGAAAGTGCATATTAGTGGGTCTTAAGCGCACTTTTTCGCGTGGGTCTTATCATCGTTGAAAGCACTTTTTTGTCGCTGAATGATAAAGCTGGCTCCTTCCCCCATATTTCGAAAGAGGCTCTGCGCACGTGACGTTAAAACTACGCGACATCTGTTTTACAGGTGAAGCTCCCTCCTTCATAGCCACCCCCAGCCAATTATCATATTCACCCAACGACGCTATACAACGCCTCCATCTGAAAGCGCAACCCCAGCGCCTTCCAGTCACGAATTCCTCGTCTATTGATTGTTTTTACAGCTTCCCCGAGAGCCCCGTCGAGATTGAGCGCGTCGGATGGGAGGCGTCGCGATCGATTTGACAGGCTCATCCGCCTGCTGAGCTAACGCACTCACCAACACTTATCTTCCTTCTACCTTGGCACGACTTTCGACAACACAGTCACGACTAGGGAACTTCATCATGGCTCAACCACAACCACAGGCACAGCCTCAAACCCAGACGCAGGTTCAGGTGCCGCCTCGCGCCTTCTCTCCGCAACAGCACTCCCCATCGCCCGCCGCGTCGCAGTCGAGCTTTGCCCTCCCACCTCAGAAACGAGTTCGAACGGACGGTCCTTCTTCCCAACCCGAATCTCCTTATGCTACATCCCCATATGCTGCGAGCCCAGGCGCTACAGCAACGCCACCTGCTGCGACGGGATCTCCTGCCTTTGCGCAGAGCCCTGCTTTACCGCCGACGTATGCTACACCTTACATCAATGGGCACACGACGCCTGGCCTTAATCTTCCAGATGTGCGACCGAATTCGACGCCTCCAATTCAACAGCCTCAACAACCGCAGACACCTGTACCTCAATATACCAACGTAACGATGACACCTGTGCCTGCTCCAATCCCTGGTCAGTTGGCGGTTCCAACTCCTGGTCCAAGTGTTATGGGTCCCCCACAGAGGCCAGCTGAGCGACCGACCAAGGACTACGAATACGATGTGACAGATTCACTTGCTGGTACGGGCATTGATCTTCGAGCTGAGGAGCAATACATGAATGATCTTTACGCGACTGGTTTTGATGAAGCACGGACGGGATTCGCACACCAGCCGCCTGGGCCCAAGTCAACGTTTTACGGCGCAGGGCCAGCAAACCAACCTGCCCAATCCGTTCAAGACCAACAACAGGAACAGTTTGCTGCACAGCAAGCAGAGAGGGCTTGGTCAGAGTCATCAATGCGACTTGCACTCCAGCGAACACAGGAGATCAGTGAACCGTTTTTGCTGGTCGCCATGTTGCATCGGCGCGCGGACAAGATAGCACGAGAACACCATTTGGGGCTGAACCTGGATCTGAAGAATAACAGTCAGACTATGGGAAAGATGAGACTTCCGGAACAGTTTGCTGCACCAAAGGTGACCGTCAAAGTGACTCCGGGCCCGGATTCGACCATGGTTCACACGACAGGTTCATACATTCCGCACGATGCTTATCTGGTTGATCAGTTGGCATTAATGTCGATTGCTACAAAACAGCGACTTCGAGAGTTGGTGGAAGACGCGCATTTGGTAGCAACGAACCGACAAAAGACGTCTCACGGCGATATACCTGAAGAGTGGGTACCAGCTGCTGCCCCTATGAATGCCGAGCCTTTGGAGCCCATCGAGAAGCCAACGGACACAGTCAACGGCGTCGATGAGGCCACTATAGAAGGTGCGGATGGGGACAGCACGAATCCGTTAAAGCGTAAGTAGTACCAGGGCAATATCTTCAGTTTATACTCACAATCTACAGGCTCTAGCGATGCAGCTGGGTTGACAAACGGTGCGCCTCCCGTTAAGCTACCTAAAGTGTCATCTTATATGACAACCACGATGCGAGACCTCGCAAGACAGGAGCGTGATTGGGAAGAAGCACGACTTCGTAAACGACAAAAGCGCAAAGACGGAATACCAGACACTGGAAGCACAACTTCGCGTGCAGGCAGCGTGGCACCCGGTACTCCCGGTACCGCAGCTCCAGAAGCTCCCAAGAGCATGACAAAGAAGGAGATCAAAAAGAACCAGCAGATGAAAGCTGCCGAGATCGATAACCATCAGAGTCAGAACACTACCAGCAGCATCTTTGCCGGTTTTGGAGGCAAGGGTGGTCTCTTTGGCAAGAAGAAGACAGGCAAGACGTACGATTGGATGAACGTCGGACGCGGAGGCAGTGGAGCCAGTACACCAACCAGGAGCGCTCCGGGACTTGGAAAAGGGCCTGGAGGAGCGGGAGCGGCGCCGGCGCCAGCAAACATGGCCATGACCACTGAAGGACGCAACCGACTCGGCACGTGGAGAGAAGACAAAGAGAAGGGGCGCAATATCCAACTGCGCGATTGGGCTGCAGTACTAGAGAGGGACGGGCGAGAAGGCAAGGCACTCCAAAGAGCGTACCTGTACCTGGACGCGTCAAACCCCAAGTAATGAATGCTACAACTACGAAAACATGGCGACGTAATGGAAGACGGGAAGACCAAGAAGACAGAACCAGGGGAGAACGGATTGGTGACACTTAGCCAGGGCCAGGAGAGAGAGCTAGAGGAAGATACCCTGCGCGGCGTGCATCTCTTGTGATATTACTTAGCACGGCGTTTTATGTTTCTTCTTATTTTTTTGACCCAGCCAAAGGCATGACTTAGGGGAAAGACATTATTTGGGCACGCACTGCACAGCAGGAAACAAGACTATGAACTGATAGCATGAAGGGTGTGGAGGGGCCTCTTGGGGCAGAAGCAAATTCAACACTGGCGGTTACGATGCGTACCAAACGAAGGGAACACAAGTGCACCATGTGTTTCTCGAGGGCTGTGGTTCTGGCACGAGGCCATCACTACCTACCTAGTCAACTCGCTGAAGCCATGTGTTAACCAGAGGGGCAGCTTCTGGTCGGCAAAGGGGAAGAGAGAAAAGTCGAGGGAGAAATCAGAGATGACAAGAATTAAAACCCTTTGGACTTGAAGTTAGCTTCAATTCAACTCAAATTTAGAGTTTTTTTTTTTCCTGTGACGATCATTGATCTTAGTGAGAGTTGGTGATGAGGACATTCCTTCTCTTGAGTCAAGGGAGAAGAAAGTAAGGATAGAAAGTGCCTCTTCTATTTAGCCTTCCTTTGTGGTTGTTTACAGAGTCAATGACAAATGATTCCACTTGGAAGAAAAGTGGGACTGGAGCTTGCATCGTCGGTTTTCCCCTCCCTTATCAACAGTTAAATACCCGGACGATTCAGTCAATTGCTTGTTGAGTACGCAACTTTGATTTAATTGAAAACTCGGCAGGGTCCGAATCTACTGGTTGACACAAAGAAAACAGAGACAAAAACCAAAAACCTAGCCTAAATCACAGCTTCGAGACAACACATACACTCACACCTCTACTGTATAAGTAACGAACTTCCACTTTCAGTAACGTCAAGGGAGAACCATCGACTAATCTATCGTCCAGATCTCAACGCTCAAACCCGTTCAGGAGGATCCATAGTCTTGGCGATACAGCACTCATCAACATGGCAATTGCGGTTGGTTCCTTTCCTCTCTCTCTTTACAATTTTGGAAGGGGGTGTATCAGATCCCTCCCTTGCTTCCAAGCTGGTATGATATGTGCACTACCAAACATCCCAACTAATCCATTCGCGCTTGCAGGCAATCGGTCAGATCTGCTCAACGAAGTCGATCAAGGGTAATCTGGAACAATGTGTCAAACTGGTGGCGAGTGCAGCTCGGGGACAAGCAAAGGTGGGTGACTAAGTGACCGAGTGAGTCCTGTCAAATTTATGACTGGTCGTCTGCAAGTGTCTGGATCCGGAATAGAGGAATTTCTACATCCCTCGATCGAGATGGTTAAAAGGAGACTCATCAAAAATCAGAAAAGAGACACATGATCTAGATTTAAGGGGGTCAGTCAGCTGGATCAACCGTGAGACAACCACACTCTAGGAACTATGCTCGTAAAGAGGTTTGGAGACTCTAGTGTGGTCTAGTTTTTGGTTACCGCTTGTCTTACTATGTTCCCAAAACGGCGGTACTTCTCTTTAAGAGGTTTTGGTTCTTACTCACACGGTATACTTACACATTCTCTTTAGGTCTTGTTTCTCCCTGAGGCGGCTGACTACATCGGCTCCGATGGTAAGGAGTCACTCAAGCTCGCAGAGCCTCAATCGACGTCATCCTTTGTGAAAGGTCTTCAAGATGCAGCTCAAGAGTATCACGTTGCTGTCCACGTAGGAATCCACCATCGTGATGAGACTGATATTGGGCAAGAGAAGTCAAAGAGGATTCTGAACCGTACTATCTACATCCAAGAGGATGGTCAAATCGATGATACAGCAACTTATGACAAGCTTCACGCATTCGACTTTGGCAAGATGAAGGAGAGCGACACAGTCCAGCCAGGCACAACTCTCACGGCACCGTTCGACACGCCTGTGGGCCGCATTGGAAGCCTCATCTGCTTCGACTTGCGATTCCCAGAGGCACCCTTGGCACTCGCCCAGCCTGGCCCTCGCAGCGCGTGGAAGAACCGCCCAGCGCAGATACTGACGTACCCCAGCGCCTTTACCTGCCAAACGGGGCCAGTGCATTGGGAGACTCTTCTCAGAGCCAGAGCTATCGAGACACAGAGCTACGTCATCGCTTCAGGTCAAGTTGGAAAGCATAATGAGAAGAGATCGAGTTGGGGACAGAGCATGATCATTGATCCTTGGGGAAAGGTTGTGCTGAAGCTCAAGGGTGTGAAGGAGGAGGGAGGGAAATATGAGGGCACGCCAGAGGAGGGTGCTGTAGGGGACATCGGGTTCGTGAACATTGATCTTGAGTATTTGGAGAAGATTCGAAACGACAGCCCTCTTCAGAGGAGAACGTAAGTTGGCCATGGTACTCTGGTTGAAAGTGTTTGTATATGCTAACTGTGGATAGTGATGTTTATCCTGAGTTGACTTGCAGCAAGGCATAGACGGAAGGAATAGAATAGACATGCATTGATAGATATCGTGGCTTAAACAGAGCAGTATAAGTGTGGTCACTTCGCTTATAGAGTTATCTTTGAAGGCCCTTTTATGTTGGAGATCCTGTTACGGTTACATATCTCATCTTTTATATGTAGACCTGTCATAGGCTATTACCACTCTTGACAAGATATACCACATGCTATTGCCTTCCATGGCAGACCAAGTAACAATCAATTACGGTTCCTCGAATGGACTAGAGTGCAGTATCTTTCTAGTTATTGGTAAGAACCCTTTGAACTCTGTTAATCGTAGCATCGTTTTAGCAACGTCTACCATAGCTTAATCTGATTCCAAGCTCAAAACCTTGATACAGTACATGGTATGTAAAACTACCGGTGATCGAGATCTCATACAATTAGTTCGGGCCTGATTACGAGAACTTGCCGTGTTTGCTTGCCATGTCTTACAATTGATCACCTCCTGAGGCTCAAACACAAACACCAATGCAAACATGTAAAACCATGACCCCGTCCCCAACCCAACTTACAATCAACGATTGTCCATCCTCACGTAGTCGCCGATGAGATGGATCCTCGCGGAATTCTATACCCAGCTTCCGCTCTTAGAGAGATTGTCCTTACTCGCCCCATTATCTCCTTAGGACCGACAGTTCGGTACCAGATTTTCTCCCAGGAAGAGAGGGGGGGGGGATGTTACAAGTCAAGTCCCGGGTGGCTGGGACGCCTTGAATGCACATGGGTTCCGGTTCTCCCGAAAGACTTGACCTTTCCACCTTGAACCCTGTGAACTGGAACCGGAACTTGAAAAGTCGAGCCTCGCTATAGGCGAGTGGACTGGGGGAGACTTTTTGTTAAGCACAGACAGGCTGAAAGAACCGCCGAGTTACAAAATGGTTTAGAGTTCTTCTCTTCTCGCTTGAGGAACTTGATGGAAAAGGGTCCCGTTGCCGAGATGAAGTCGAAGATCTGTTCAAGTCCCGTTCCCATCGGCTTCTGGGGATGCAGTACCGTTTACCATAGCCGTTGCCTCGGTTCTGGATCCCTGGAAGAAAAGAAGAAGACTTTTTTTCTGCTCTGTGCTTTGCATGTGCGTATACCGGCCTGTGCTCCCCCTTTGCTTCCATGTGTTGTTCTTTTTCTTCTTTTTCTTCCGCTTTCTCCACTGGGCTAGGAATGAGTTTCCAAACTCCCCGGATGGAGATATTCCTCATGTCCCGGCCGTTGGTGTTGTTTTGTTTAGCGTTGCAACGTTGTAGGCCTGGCTTTTCCCTTTCTCTCCCATGTTTGCCATGCATGTTACCGAGTCGTTGGGTACGGTAATAGTAAGTAGGGGAGAAAAAGATTTTTTCCATTTTCCTTCAGCCTCGTCTCGAAACAGGTACGTTGTGATGTGTTGGTTTCAAAGGCATTTCGGGTCGTGCTTCCGCAGACGATGATACATAATGGGTTATAGGCTAAAATGATGGTATAGCAGACATTGGATATACACGAGGTATGCAGAGTAGTTCCATACGGGTGGGTGGGAGGCGACTTGCATTATTACAAGTTTGATTATGATGTCTTTTTTTGTTCAAAATGACATGCATCTTGAAACCTGCTCTTGTGTATTAGTTTTTGCGGAATAATTACGTGTTTGATATCTGTAGTTTCTCTCAACTCATTATGATCCTTTATCGTATTAGTGAACCTTGTTTTTATGTTTTTTTTTTCTTTCTTTCTTCTTTGCTTCTTCTTCTCCCTTTTGTTCTTCCCGTCGCCCTGAACCTTGAATATTGCATTGCAGCAATGCAGCCTTGCGTTTGCGGTACTTGAGTTGTAGAGGAGTGGTGGTGGTGGAGTAGCACTGACAATGACAGAGGGAAACAAACCTAGACAAGACAAGACAAGATTTGCTTTGACAGTATCCACTTGATTGATACCATGAACCATCATCATCGCCATGGCATGTCAGGTACCGTTTACACTATGCACACGCCCTGTATCATCCCTGATGTAGGTGGTGATATACCCATGTCCTTGTCCATGTCCATGCAAGATTCCCGTCTCGCCTGTATGATTAATTAATTCCTTCCCTTTTATTTTCTTTTCTTTTCTTTCCTTCATGTTCTTCTGGCATCTTTTCACCCCTCCCCTACCCTACCTTGCTTCCTGTCTTCCTTCCGCGTTCTCGCCCAACTGCACCTGCCTGAAGAACTTCCATCAACTCCACTGCGGCGCCTCGTCTGCCCCAATTCCCAACGCTTCGGTCCCGGGAGTCAGGCTGCATTAGCCCGGCGTCGCACGATTCTCAATGTGGTCAAGACTCTGCTGAAAGTACTGTGTTGTACCTGAGGTACGTACCGGTACCTTCTTCAGACTTTCCATTACCCTTACCCAGGGTTGCCTTCCGTCTGGACTTTGTCTGATCTTGCCTTACCTTGGACCTGGGAAAAGAAGAACTGGTAAATCGGAAGGCCTGCCCGTTGCCGTTCCTTTGTTCCTGCAGCTTGCAGCTGCACCCCAGTCTCCATTTTCCGTTCCTCCTTCCCCGTCCCCGTCCCGTCGCCGCGTCCCAAAGCAGGAAGCTGTCAATGTCATCTTGCATTAGCCGATATTCTAATTCCCCATCAGATATTAACAATTTATTTATTTATTTTAACAAGGTTTAAAACTGAGGAAGCAATTGACTAAATTTTCCCGCCGAGAGAAAGAGGAAGGAAGAAAGAAAGAAAGAACCAAGGCGACCAGTAATATTTTGCTTTTGTTGTCGTTCCAAAAATGATTGCTTTTTCATGTCTCATCTTCTCTTTTCTTTTTACAGAGACGGCTCAGCCAATGTCTTTCTTGACTCTTGTCTCTTTATCCAAAAACGAGTTTGCGCTTTGTTGTCCAATAGATAAACACGATTTGTTTCTTTTCTCAGTAACGCCTCATGCATCCACTTTATGCAAGATACCGTAATTAGGTAGTATGACTTGCAAAAAAGGCTACGCACATGTCTACAACATGTTGTTGTTTAGTTGCTGTTTTGTTTTGTTTGCCTGTGTTTGTCTGGATCATGATGAATAAAGGCTTTGTTCTCTCTTTTCATCTTTGCTTCTTTCTGGCGCGTATTCTAGCACCTTGATTGTTTTCTCTTTTTTCCTTTTCTCCCTTTGGATGAGATCTGATATCAGATTGCAAACTGTTTTTTTTTTTTTTCGTTTTTGTTTTTGTCGCCAGTCGCAAACAGGGTCCCAAGTTGGAGATGGATGTACACGGAGCAGATCCACGTATGATGCGCAAACTGTCGATCCGATATGTCATAATGCTGGAGTCGCATCCTCTTGCTTTTTCTGTTCCTCTCTGGGAGTTACTTGTTTTGACCACTTGTTGCGACTCGTGTTAATGCCCGGCCTATTAATTGTCTTTTGTATCTGTACCGAGACAAGACTGTGAAACGGACGGCTCATGACTGGATACGGAACGCTGAGCCTCGGCTGGTTTTGTCTACTCGTGTCACCGAGCACAACGTTTGACTCTCTGGTAGACAGTAAAGATGTGCCTAATTAAGGGTTATACCCGTAAAATGGCAGCTGTGGCATGTTGATGAGGCCAAGGTTAGCCCACTATTTCATCTGAACCTCCTGCGTGTCATGTCTCCCTGCCGGTTGCCGCTTTACACTCTATCTACTGCCCAGTTACAGATAGATGGCTCAGATCAAGCGCCATGGTTCTGTTCTATTCTGTTCTATCAATGATGTCCTCGTTTTCGTGTCCCCCGGAATCCTCAACCCAGTTAGCCGTAGAGCAAACGTTCAAATGCTTGTTGCCAGGCCCTATGAAACGCGCCCTCAAAACTCAACCGCCAGCCATCAACTCTTTTCTTGCCCCTAATCAGTCGATAGTCTTGTTTTCTCCATCCATTATCTCATCCCAACGAACCTTGAGTGTTGTATTTATTATTCTGCTTTGGCCTTTACTCTTGACTTTAAGCTTTTTTCTTTTCTTTTTATCATATCGGAAACTGTACCCGCGGGTAGAGTCGTCGTCATTGCTGTATCACCATGTGTATATTGTGCCGCAACCACAATGCCGGCCCCTGAAAGCCCAAAAGTCAATTACTTTAGTAGTAGGCCACCACAAACTTACAATATCGTACTGTATCATCCAAGCGTCGCACACCCAATTCATCGACCACCAAAAGGTCGTACCTTGTTTTAGTGCAAAGGTATTTGATTTGTGTATTTATTTTTGGGTTTATGGAAACATTATAGCTCAGCTTTACAGAGTTGCATACGCACGCACTGACTCGTCTTGCCCGTAAACAATTCATGCTTGACCCCTTGCATTGCTGTCATAATTTCACATTCAGGTATAACAGATTGCGGTTTGACTTTGTGGTCATTCGTTATTGCAGCCCAATCTATTTTAATTATATGTGTCATCCCAAGTTTATTAGGTAGGACATTAGACCATCTCGATGCAGCAGGTACTAGTCAAGTTAGATCTATTAACCCAACAACGCTCTACCTTGTTGCGCAACGCTCAATGACATTTTATTACACTTTTTAATCGTCATTCGCATGGACAAGGGAACCCAACATAGCAAACCTCAACCTGTTTGTCTTTGCTTAGATTTGCTAGAGTAAATAGTCTTGTTTTCTCATGCCCTCTCTGTCTACCAGTGACAGCCCAGTCCATTCTTTCGTATTAGTCTAGTTGGGCCATCGACAACTCCCTTGATTCGCAGTAAACATTCCAACCTCTTCCATTCCAACTAAATTGCAGTCTGTGCCTACGCATACAGCGAGTAACTGCCCAGATATCTTTTGTATGCGCGCGTTACCCCAACTAATCTTATGTACTGTAACATACTCTATTGTCACTGTCCTGTTTTCTGTTTCCTCCATGGCCTCGGATTCTTCTCCCCGGTTCTTCATCACCCGCTCGTCACACAAACTACGGCTCCAAGCATAGCAAACAAACCTTCTCGTCCAAGTAATTCACATCCAGACTTATCTCACCTCCCGTTTAAGTTTCCTTAAAAGGCAAACACGGCGAGTAAAAAGATTAGAACCTGAAAATAGACCCTTGCCATGCATCCATCCATTTACTCAGTCAAGTCACTTGTGGCATTGTAGTAGTCAAAGATAATTATTGAATAATGTTCTATTATTTGTATTTCTTCTGGTGTCCCAGATTATTCGTTTCCTTGCGCTGTGTAGCTAAATGTCTTGCGTTTAATAAAATACTATACAGTCGAGATACTTAAAGGGGGGAGACGCGCAGTAGGGGGTATCTTCTATCAATCCTGAGTCCAGCCCAAGTGCTCCACAACACGGCTAGAGCATCGACTCGCTTCCAACTCTCCCCCCTTCCTCGATCCTCATCCAATAGTTGTGTTGTACACCAATCGAGTCCAGAAATAGTACAAGGGAATGTCGCAAGAAATCCCATCACTGTTGGTCCTCCCGCGAGGGAGCTCAGACCAAAACAGCCATCTCCATAACCAATAGTAATAAAAGGAAAAGAAAAAAGAAACGAGCGACGGGGTAGCCGAGAAAACAAAAAGATCAAAAAGCAAAACCCCCAAAGTCTATATGCGATTGCAGAAATCAAACATCTTTTCCCATCCGGTCCCAGTTTTTTTGTATTCCATCCCAAAACCCTTGCGTAAAAATAAACTCCAAAAATGTGTCTTCGTGGTATTCGATCTTCTTGGCTCGGTCGTCAGGCACTCCATGTCGGTTTGTCTCTGCTCGGTTTCGGTCGCCCAATTCGATGTCAGCCCCCCTCGCCAACCCTTGTCGCGGAGGAGACGATCTGAGACAGACCCATCCCAGTCAGATCTGCATTCCGATTCAGAACGCCCTTGACGTGAGTGGTGCTGAAACTCAGAGTTGGTTTTCGAAGGAGACGCTGTGGGGGCGGCCGGCAAAAGACGCTGTAGTGAAGACGAGGCCAGAAAGAAAGGAAAAGCACATAGAAAGAAAGAAAAAGCAAACCCAGTTTTGTTTCCGTCTATGTTCAAACGCCGCGTACTGAACCCAATGTAGAGATGTAACAATTTCGCGTCGCCACGAATGTTGGATGTGAAATAAAGAAAATTGACACTCAGTCATAACAATGAGTGAAATCGTTCCCAAGAAGAAAAATGTTTCCCTTGAAATTCTCGCTTGCTGCTGGGAAGCAAGTGATGGCTCTGAGCCGTTGTGTATATGGTTTTCGACAGGAATGTCCATTAAAAAGTGTATCCGGAAAGCATTATAGCCAGGAGTGATTTAGCTCCTTGGCTGTCTTGAAATGATTAAATAGTGTCGTAATTGATGAAAAGTCGCTTCAAGTCGAAAAGAAGAAAGGCGGAAAAGGGTGAAGCGCGCGTCTCAAAGATGAGCGCAGTGTCATGTCGTCGCCGGACAGGCCTAACCGCCAGCGTGGCCCGGCTTTTGGCGTGGTCGTCAGTCGCATTAGGTTGGGAAACATGTAGAGTTTATCCAACATTTCAAGCGAAAAGACTCTTATGAAGGTCTAGGGCGGGGAGGGGGCTTGGGGACACCGGTTGTGTCGTAGGCTCCTCGGCCCATGTTGGAAGGGGTTGATGATCCTTCAATCATTGTGAATGTTGTTGTCTGTGGCGAAGATTGGAAAAGAATGGATTGTTGCTGTGTTGTTGGTCAGTCGATGTTGCAAGGAAACATGCGATATATGAATGAAAAGACAACCAGAAGAATCAAATACGCAAGAGTCTTTCTCGGCAACTCAGTAGAGTAAAAACCAAGAGAGGCACCAGCGCGAGATTGGATTCCAATGAAGTGATTGTGGTTAAGCGACTTTGACTTACAAGGAATCTTCTTCGTGGTGCGACGAAGAATGCAGAACGTATTGAGCGAATGTCGGTGCGGATTGGCTGAAAGATTGAAGCGGCAGAGAACAGAGAGGCGAGAAGACAGCCGAATGGTGTTCAAGATGTGAGCGTTACCAATATAATTGGAGCGTGTTTCGGAGGTGTAAAGGAGTGGTGGTGAGTGGGAGTATGTTGCGAGAGACGTCGACACCAGAAGGTTGAAATAGGCAACACGAGCGAGAGATGATGTCGCAGGCGTGTAGTAGAGTATTATACAATAAATAGGTAAAGGTAGTCGAGGGACAGATGCGTCTCTTGAATAGTGAGTGGGAAAGGGGAGAGTTATGCTTTTTGAGCGACAACCCAAATGAGGTAGGATCCAAGGGGAAACCTTTTTATTTGGTTTGGGGTGACTTGAACTTCTGTCAAGCGTCCTTGCAAGGGGGATAGGATGGACGGGTCGTTGCCGTAATACGGTACTAGTAGCCTGGCCAGCTACTTTCTCAGCTCGTAGTTGAGTTCAGTTCCGTTCAGGCACAAGGCACAAGGCACAAGGCACAGGTACGCTGCAGAGTAGTAGGTAGAGTAGCAGGGTGGCGCCGGTCGGATGGTCGAATGAAGTGTGGGTCAAACAAACGGGGCTCGATTATTACGAGGGTGTGGGACTTGTTCTGTCTGTTGTTCTGTTCTGTTCTTTGCTGGGATAGATAGATTTGGCTAGCCTGGAGGCTTGCTTGAAAAAGGTCAAGGTAACCTGATGAATGAGGTAAGGCGAAAGGTTGCTAGCTTCGGTGTCTAGTCTTTTCTGTCCGAGTCGTCGATATCGTTCGCTTGAGGTGCGTGTGTATGTGTAAGTGATTCACTAAAAGAGGACAGAAGAGCCAAGTAATCAGAGGTGGGCGGCTGAGGGTATTTGAAAGAGAATGTGTTCCAGAGGGAGACGTGAGATGATGTTCTTGTCCGAGGGAGGAAGGGGAAGCAAGTCGCTTTTGTACAGACAACTTCCGTACAAGGGAACAAAACTTTGGGAAAACCTCAACGAGAATCAATGGCAAGGCAATGCAAGGCTTGCAGGGCCAGACAAGGGCAAGGGGGGTGCCCTCTCTCTCTCAGAGTCACTGGATGTGCCGTCCGGCCTGTCAATCAATGTCAGTGCCAATGTCAATCATACATTATTACCTTACCTGAGTATCAACCTCATCAAAATTGCTGCGAAATTTCCCCAAGGGGGTCCACGGTCAGGGGTGGGAGGGGCGTCTCGGGGGGTGACAAAAAAAATAGTGAGCCACCAAAGCAAAAAGAAAGACCAAGAAAAGGAGAGACGACGCCAGTACATGGCTGGACCATGTTTCATGGCCTTCCTCCCAGGGACTATGCATGTCTCCACGAGGGATCCGTTCGTGGCTGATGGGGATCAAAGAATGAGCTCGGGCTTCTAAAAATTCAGGGCGCGCTTCTCTCAACCTTCCATTCTCTCGCTTGTCGCCTGTGGGCATTGACACGCCATGGGTTAATAGTAGTCGTCTCCCGGCCAGGTCATGACTCCCAGATGAGCGCTGATCCGAAGGTCACAGTACTGTACCCCAAGTACTCGCAGTACCTTTGCTTGACTCTCGTCTCGCCTCTTTCTGCGACACCCAGGCCACCGGGTCGCAGGGATAAGAAGCCGCTGGGATCTGCTACTGCTGCAAGGCGTGTAATGTCTCCGGGAGGTTGGAAATTCGCAACCTGACCATTACATCCCTCTCCAACTGTTTTTTTTGTCTTACACACCCCATCGTCCACGCAGCGCACCCCAGATCCGCTTTGTTCATCCCTTGGTGCCTCCTGTTGCAGGAAACAGTGCTCTTCTCTTTTCCTGTAACTGGCCACGTTCTGACGTTGACAGCCCGTCAGAGCCCGTTTAGATCTTAGACCACAAAAGCGTGTGAGATAATTGTTCTTTGCCATTCCCAGCAAACCTTCTTTCTCCAACGTTTGTGACTAGTTCAACAGGTAATGACCATGACCACAAACCTTCTGAAGTGAACAGGCGTTCCAGGGAGCCTCCTGGCGTCCCATAGTGGGCCTAGGACTGGCCGAGCCCAATGCTCAGCCAAACCAGCCCGCGACGTCAGGTTTATGAGGGTCCAAACGGTACTTAGCGCCGTGTCGTTGCACTGTACAGTACAATCGTGCTGATTCATGGAGTATGCTCTCCATCCGGGTACGAGCGTCCATTCCGTCTTTCTTCTGGCACTGTGACTTGTTCACAAGGGTCTGCTGTACCGTTCTATCGATCCACCGCATCAGGCCGTTTGTTCATCAAACGCTTGATTTCCTTTCTCCAACTGGCCTCTTTCTCGTTTTCTATGCCTGCTCATTTGTGCGGCAGGGTCAGGTTCTCTCGCCTTATGCCCAGGGGCACGTATCCATTGGGATTTGGTTTGTAAAGTTTAATCCTATACCAAATTGCATGTAGCATCGCGATCCCTCCGCTTATATCGCCTTGCTAATTATATAGCACATACCCAACGTCCATGCTTCGTGGAATGTTGAAAGAATGTTCTTCGGCCTCCACACACCTGACGTCTCATCTCGTTGCAGGATGAAATCACCCCAGGTCAGAGCGCGGCAAGCATAACATAGCGCACCACTTTGTTCAGTAGCACCTAAAGGAAGGCATGTCGCACCTGTATCATCCTGTGATAGCGCATGATTTCTCGATTGGAAGGGTCATGTGGTGCTCTGTCGCTCCATCGTGACATGTCAATGCCTCAAAAACAATGACGTTTTACTGTTCTTCCTTCATCAATCATGGCTTAAAATAGACAAGATGACTAGTCTAGTCATTTGTAGTCTCTCCGCTGTCTTTCAAGCTTGCTTTCGGGTAGATCCGATACTTCAACGAAACCTAAAGGAAGACTTCAACCGCGAAAGATAAATATAGTCAGTCATGTAGTTCATCGAGGCACTGCACGAAACCATATTTTAGAACTCATAGAGTTGTTCTCTCGTCTTCATTTCCGATTGTGAGCAATAGCCGAGATAGCTAAGGCTTTACTGCATAACACATCCTCACCTAAATATCTGCTCGCCCACAATAGTCTACCTGTCATCCACGATTAGCTATTGTTTGCTCTGTATTGGTACCGCAAATCATCTAATTCTGGAATGGTGGGTTTCACATAGACCGGCAGATAAAACCATCCTCCGCCACATAGCATATGGGCGATTTCAATATCATGTTGGTTTCATTTGTGAGGATATCAATGACCCAAGCTTCTTTAAGTTCCGAACCTAGATGCGGTTATTAGAGGAGCGGCGAACGGAGTCAACAAAGGGCATCGTTGCAGAAGTAGTCCACGTCTCCCCATATCACATATGCGGCATGGAAGTTCTTCGGCCGAACCGTGCTGATGCGTCTCTTGTCGGGACTATGCAGCCCCGCTTATGATGCTGAATCCCAAGGACACGGAACCGCTGAACCATCACCTGTCCGATCTCAAGTGAATTTATTGACTTGTAGGCTATGCACGGTGACTCCCGGTGTGAAACATATGGCACCTATCGATTATAGGTTGCCCGGCCCCGTTGCTGTTCTGATGATTACCATGAACGAGTTTCTTTTTAGTATCGAGCACCCTTAACAATTGCGGTATCTGTATCGACACGGATAGTTGAAGTTACTTGTTGAGTATCAATGTGTTAAAACTGTTTCACATTCAGCTATTGCTAATTGAGACGTCGTAAAGTCAGTGACTGACAGGAAAGCATGGCGTTACAAGAAGCCCCATCCCTGTGTACCTTATGCAACGGAAGTATTGCCGGCCTCGCCTAATACTGGGCCAACGTCTCTTAGAGTGGTAGGTAGAGATATGCCACATCACCATAATTCGCCGAGATGGTGTTCTCAATGTTTTTCAAGCCCATTGCTACCGTTGTGCAACAAACAATGCTGAGGGGATTTGAGCCGCTCAAGTCGCCCTTCATGAGCTGCCGACTGGGGTTTAATACTTTTGTTTGTTTGTTTGTTTGTCTGTTTCCTGTTACGTTTGCAAGAGGCTTGCGAATGTCCAAGTCCCGATCGATCGCGGCAATGATGTACTGGGTTGAAGCCAAAGTGGACCGATGGGGCTGCGTAGAAGGCTTCCAGAAGCCTGCCAAATTTCTTGGCTCAATGCACACGGTACTTCCTGACCGTGCCAACATGGAAATATCAATGTCGAAGCACTGTATATGCAAGTTAATACTTAAGCGCCATGTGTGTGGTCTTTCTCATGGTACCTGAACAGCTGCGTCTTCCACCTGAGCTCCACTATAGCCAGTCAGTCAGTCCAATGTGGGAGTGTGCATCTTGTGGGGATAATTCATGGATTTTGGGATGAACTGCCAACAAACTCCCGGTCCGCATGTTCAGGGGTAGATCGCTGCACACATCCACGTTAGTGTGGCCAGTGCACACGTTGTGGCGTTTTACGTAGACGGTAGTGCCGCAAAGAAGCCCCAGGCCTTTCGGCGTTCCTGCATTAGTCAATTTCTAAACGCCATTCGTATTTGAAACAGGGGTCGGGGTCGTTCGTTCCAACCTTCATCCACTTCTACATAAGTGACATCCACCCACCGTAAGGGTCCCTTTTGGAGCCAATACCAGTCGATCGGTTTGGAAAACGCCTGGAGTTTCAAATGCCAGATACGATCGCGATGCTCTTGCGTGTCATGTGATGCCCATTGAAGCATTGGTCGCCAAGGATGGCAAGTCTGAAAACGGTTCGATATATGGTAGGAAGCCAACACTGGTCCTTGGGCTTCTATCATTCGTGTCTCAACCGGGCCAAGCCCATGGATAATCGTGTCGTAGAAAATGTACCTTTCCTTTCCAAACAACTCCCTTCGTCGGGCCTTTTCACTCATTCTGGCCTCCAGCATGTAGCTGGCTTCTTTGCTTTGTCTTCTTTTGCTTAACCCACACTACCACAGAAGCATCCTGGCGTTAAACCCTGTATTTGGATCATGAAGAGAGACACGTATGTAAGTCCATTGCTAGAGGCGACGGCGCGATCCTGGGCCTGGGCCACCGAGAATCGTGCTATTGATATGCTTTATCACACTATCACCACTGGCTTGTTAAGCAGGGGAATTGCTTGCAGATCAGGCTGACATGTTCAGACCAGTCAGTCAAGCCAGTGACATTTCGTTCCTGAGCTAGCCTGGCTAGTCGCGGACGACATATTATTCGTATGTCTATGTGTTGCGGCTCTTTGTACGTACCACGAGCCATGAGAAGATGAGATGAAGACCCTTCTTGGCACCATGTCCAGTGGGGTTGGTATCAAAGTCCACCTATCGGATTAGCAGCATACTGAGTTGGGACCAGACGCCAAACGACATGGGCATTTTCTTCTGTACTTCTTTCTGGAAGCCTCAGCGAACAGTGTTGTAGATCAGATGCGAGCGCGTGAGAGAGCCGTGTCAAGAACTAGGACGTCATAATTGACTGGCATATATTAACACTGGCTTGGCATATTCAACGCATTGCCTCTTTGTCCGGTGACTCTTCAGCTAACAGTCAGGGCTGTTATTAGAATGCCAATCTCTGCCAGTGTGACCTGATCTTATGGTAGCTGTTTCCCAGCCTCCCAGATGTTTTCCCTGTACTTTCTGCCAATTTGAGTTGTGTCGTTGAGATTGTACGTACAACGTAATATTGTTGTCGCCGGGGAACCGCTTCCGCAATTAAGGCGTCCGTGCCGGAACCGCCTCGTAATTTCAGAAAATTTGTCCCAAAGACCATGCTCCATGGTTCATGGGCATGAACCATTTGTGTGGGGCCAGAGAGGCCTCTCCCTAAGCCAGCAGGACCGGGTAGGTAACCTTCTGGAAGGACGATCCGTGGATGTGTTTGTTCTAGAGCGTATGTCGTTGAGTCCGGATATGTTCCCCGGACGATAGGACAAGAAGCCACGAGTCAAGCTTCAAATACGTTGGGACCGTCTGCCGTGTCCCCGGTTGATCGTTATCGAGATTGTGTATCTCGTGCCCAACCTCCAAGGCTTTTGGAATTATGTATGGGTACGTCCATGATCTACGCTATCCAGTAATTAACCACGAGTCGTGAGTCTAGCCACTGTCTAAGGATAGTCAGAGAGCCTCAGGAAGCTGACTCGTTCAAACTAACCCCTAAGAACCTTACTCGTTGAGACGCTACCTCAGTCCGGGGAAGCAACCCAAGACAACGCCACACTATCACCCGACGGTCTTTTCAGCCGCTGGATGTGGTGATAATGGGTAAATAGGAAAAAAGCATGGCTCAGTGTAAGTTGACAGACGGGTTGCGTCCAAACTAGTTCTGATACGATGGCTGACAGAAATATTTTGCCAGTAACATGGCCTAAGAGTGCGCTGATATTTTTGTCTTGTCTCCTTCAACTGGGTAGTTGGTTATCGTAATTCGAGCAGTGAGTACGTAGAAGAGGTGATCAGATGATTCTAATTGATCTTGAGGATTCAGTACCGTCGGAAGGTTTTCAAAGCTTATAAATTTGTTAGGAAGGCACGTAAATCCTGCTGCCGATGTAATAAGTCGTGAAGAGAAAGGCACTTCAGGCGTGACAAACGATCCAACCATGCCCATATTTACGGTACAGGGTAATCTGGTATGTGGAGATTCATATGTACGTTTTCGACTTTGTCTTCTCTCAGTTTTGTTATTGAAGCGTTAAGTATGTTTATAATACGTTAATGCTGGCAGTTTGTTGATGGTTTATGCCGTTTCTTTTGTCTGCGGTGCAAATAGCTCTCCATATATCATCAGTTGCAGGAAGTATCTCAAATTGGTTTCATGTGCATCGAATAACTTTTCGTACAAGTGTTTTAATGTCCAACCCACAACATATCTATATCGAATTCAAGATTGGCGAGTCTAGTAAGCTTGTATGGAGCCTAAAGATCTCAAGAATTAGAAAAATAAGAATACCACGAGTGGTATTATTTAACAACAAGCTTCCAATGCTATTTGTTTCGAAAGAGGTAGTGTACAAGATAGGAAAGTACAATGTCATATGCTGCAAGCCCCACTGTATCAGTCACTGTAGCATGATTATCATCACTAAATCACGACAAGCTCATGTATCCGCTTAACAAGGGAGCTCAGCTATCAAGCCACATATCACCGCCTCACCTCCACCCCGCCATCGCTGACGCAGCTTGGATGTCCAACCACGCCGACACCGATATAGCTTCCTACCGATACAGGCTCATTTCAGCATTACGAGCTTCCAACGCACCAACACGACAACCTAACTGAAGAAAAAAATTGCCCAACATGTCAATCATCCAACAGCATACAAGCGCTACCCTGAGCGACGCTTGGCGCACCATCAACATTGACGCTCTGGAGGAGGATTCCAGCGTCAACTTCGACACCTCCACCCTCCACCCCCCACAGCCCGAGATCGACGAGGCGGAAGTGCGACAGCTTTCTGGACAGATCAGACAGCTACTGCGAGGAGGCGATGCCGAGGGAGCTTTGAGGGGAAGTCTGGAGACGCCCGTCTACAACGGAACAGATGCTGCCAAGGTACGCCGATGTGATATTGAGAACGACTGCCATTCGATTACATATGGGAAACGTGGAACTGATGAGATTGCGTTTATAGGATGCGCATTTGCACACTATTATTGAGGTTCTCCAATCGATCAAGGCGAGCGATATGTCACCCCTGCTGAAGAGCATCTACGGATCCGATGGAGGTCCCGAGTTGTTGGATGTCTTGATGAAGTACATGTAAGTTTTAGGACCCGGCACATTGGACAATTGATGGAATTATCTAACGATTCCATGCAGTTACAAGGGAATGGCCACAGCTCATCCCGGAGCAGCTTCGCGATCACCAAACAAGATTACACCCCAGTCGACAGGAGGCTTTAGCCAGATCGGAGGACGACCTGGTGGCGCGAACGAATCCGCAACCGCAGCCATGAGTGTACTTCTGAGCTGGCACGAAAAGGTAGTTGAGGTCGCCGGTCTTGGATGCATCGGTCGAACAATGACGGACTGGCGCAGGGTTTAGAGGGTAGATGCGTGTACAGGAGCGGTCAAGAACACATAGAATCATGAGTACCGACAGCCACAAACCATGGAGCAGCAAACCCCTTGCGAAGCTCCTAGCTCTGATGTCACATTGTTTGCATTACAGAAACAAACAGCCTAGCCTATTTTTGTTCCAAAACATCCTTCAAGTTTATATCACCACTACCCCTGGGCAGTGGCTGCGGTTGGTTCTCGCCCTCTCGCCATCCGATCATGTAGAGAACTCTGAAAGTGGCAGGAATAGTTCCATCCGGGTTACCGTGAAGTTCTTTGTAGATGGCATTAGCAGCGAGAAGAACATCTCGCTGAATCGGGCCCATCTCTCTTCCGATAACAGCGTTACCCTCTCCCATCGCCTGTAGATCCTGCATCAGAGTGAACATATCAGGATAGTCAACAATGATATCATCGATATCGACAGTCAACATCTTGAAGCCAGCTTTCTGAAGCAGACCGCCGAGATCTTTCACATCAGCCAAAGGAGAAACTCGAGGAGACATGCCGCCTCGTCTTTCTGATTCTGCTAGTTGTAGTGACGTTCTCAATTCGAAGAGCGTGTCACCTCCAAGCATGGCTCCGATGAAAGGTGCATCGGGCTTGAGAACGTTGTTGATTTGAGTGAGAATGCCAGGTAGGTCGTTAATCCAATGAAGACTTAATGAACTCAGGACCAAGTCAAAAGAAGCAGGGTCAAAGGGAATTGTCTCTTCATCGTCCACTACTTTTCGAGTGATATTGAGCTTCTTGTTAAATTCGTGATTGGCATCTCGGTGTAAGAGCGAATAAGAAGAATCGGCAGCAACCAACTCGTCAATACGTGTCGACAATGGTGGTGACTGAGGCACATTGGAATCAGGATCAGGGTCAGGATTCTCGCGAACCAATGCTCGTGCGATATTGCAAGAGTTTGCCCCAAGATCTAAAACTCGAGGGAAGTGTCGTTTTATATCCTGATCTGTAGTTAGGATCATGCATCCTATTCAAGTATGCATACTTACAAGAAGTCGCTCTGACAACCGAATGGCAACCTCGTCTTTGAGGTAATCGGTTTCACGACTTTCCTCCGCATTCATACCCGCACGCTCCTTCTGTAGCCATTTTGTGCGGCGATTGAAGACCTGGAAGCGAGGAGCTCCAGCAGCTTGAACAGCATAGAAGCGTTGATTTGCGATGGGACGGCAGATATTGGTTGGTCGCAACAAAGCTTGAAGACTGCAGCGCATGGCCAATGGCGAGATCCTACATGGCGACATTGTGTAAGAAAACTATTCAAGGCACTCTCAAGTTTTAAGAGAAAGATAAGATGTAGTTATGTATAAGACGAAATACCAAAAGTGTTGATGCAATATAGAAGTCATGATGGATTTGATAGACTCCATTGAAGCTCTCTCTCTCTACTGGCTGCTGCAGTGTAGAGTGGATATATGCACGGACCATGTGTGAATTCGACATGCTAATCCGTTTTTGGTCATTACTGTAACCACCTGTAGGAGGCAGGAGACAGGAGGTTTCTTAGAGGCTACTGTAGAAGCCATAGATTGGCCTCAGTGTCTATGGGCGACGAACAACACTTACATCTCACTCCTTCGTCCACCGAATTCGCTGCTTTTTGACAGCTTCCATCTATTCGTTTCTTTGAGTGTCTGCTGTCGCGTTCTATCCAACACTGAAGCGCCCTCAATTACCCTCTCGTCAGTGGCAGCCCTTGTCAGTCCCCGACTCATCCGTTCCCTAGCCCACGGGCCTCTTCCGCAACTCCTAAGTTAACAATTAGGCCGCACAGAGCAGAGAACCATCCACCCACCACCCGCAACCGCATCTTTTGCTTAGCTCGCCCCTCCAACGAGCAATCTCCCATCACATCGACATACAATCGATGTCTGGCGCGTGAGCCGTCTGGACAATTTGAGTCAACTATGCGATCATTGCGATAGAGCGCGAACACACTCTGTTTTGGAGATCACTCGACATCACCCACCGTCTCTCCCGTACTTTTCGCCGAACGATTCATCCGAGTTTAATACCCCCGTCTTGTTCCCCATAATCAGGGGTCTTTAACAGCTGTCCGCACAACTGCTTCAACAATCAACCGCACGCCATGTCGAGCTCAGGATCCGGCTTTCTTGGCCGCTCGAGTAGCAGCAATGCGAATATGCGCGGTCTGGTTCAATTCATCGCTGATCTAAGAAATGCGAGAGCGCGCGAGCTCGAGGAGAAGCGAATCAATAAGGAGTTGGCCAATATTCGACAAAAGTTCAAGGACGGTAGCCTTAGCGGTTATCACAAGAAGAAATATGTCTGCAAGCTGTTATACATTTATATTCTGGGCTGGAATGTTGACTTCGGTCACCTTGAAGCCGTCAACCTGATCTCAGCCAACAAATATTCTGAGAAACAGATTGGATATCTGGCCATGACGCTGTTCCTTCACGAGAAGCACGAACTGTTGCACCTTGTCGTCAACAGTATTCGAAAAGATCTTCTCGACCATAATGAGCTTTTCAATTGCCTCGCCTTGCACGCAATTGCGAACGTAGGAAGCCGAGAAATGGGTGAAGCTCTTAATGGGGAGGTTCATAGGCTTCTGATTTCTCCGTATGCGCCAATACCCCCCTGTACTGCGAGATAAAGACTGACCGCTGTTCACCAGGACCTCCAAATCGTTCGTCAAGAAGAAGGCGGCTTTGACTCTTCTTCGACTGTACCGCAAGCACCCAGATATTGTGTCACCGCAATGGGCGGAGCGCATTATCCATCTAATGGATGACTCTGACCTGGGTGTCGCACTTTCAGTAACATCTCTTGTCATGACTTTGGCCCAAGACAACCTGGAACAATACAAGGGAGCGTATGCTAAAGCGGCAGCCCGTCTGAAGCGAATCCTTATTGATGGCGAGTATACAACGGACTATCTATATTACAAGGTCCCATGTCCTTGGCTACAGATCAAGTTGCTTCGACTTCTTCAATACTTCCCGCCTTCAGGTAAATCAGAACACTGCGATAAACATAACAAACCAGCACTAACAATATCTACAGAGGACACCCATGTTCGAGACATGATCCGCGAATCCTTACAAAGAATTCTTAACCTGGCCATGGAGACTAACAAGAACGTCCAACAGAACAATGCCCAGAACGCCGTGCTCTTTGAAGCCATCAATCTGATCATTCACCTGGACACTGAGCATGGCCTGATGAAGCAAATTTCAACGCGACTGGGCAAGTTTATTCAGAGTCGAGAGACAAATGTCAGATATTTGGGTCTGGAGGCTATGACACATCTCGCTGCGCGTGCCGAAACACTTGATCCTATCAAGCAACATCAAGAGATAATTCTTGGCTCACTCAAGGACCGAGATATCAGTGTCCGTCGCAAAGGTTTGGACTTGCTCTACAGCATGTGCGACGCGACAAACGCCCAAGTGATTGTCGGTGAGCTCCTGCAGTATCTACAGAATGCCGACTTTGCTATCCGAGAAGAAATGGTCCTTAAGATCGCCATTCTTACGGAGAAGTATGCTACTGATGTGCAGTGGTATGTTGACATCTCTTTACGACTTATCGCCATGGCTGGAGATCATGTCAGTGATGAAGTCTGGCAGCGAGTTATCCAGATCGTGACAAATAACGAGGAACTGCAAGTTTATGCAGCCCAGAATGCGCTGCAGTATGTTAAGGGCGACCACTGTCACGAAACCCTTGTCAAAATCGGTGCCTATATTCTTGGAGAATTTGGCCATCTGGTAGCCGATCAACCTCGTTGCAGTCCTATTGAACAGTTTATGGCTCTCCAAGGCAAGCTGATGGCATGCTCCTCGAGCACCCGTGCGATGATTCTGTCATGTTTCGTCAAATATGTCAACCTGTTTCCCGAAATCAAGCCCCAGCTCGTTCATGTGTTTGAATTCCACAGCCACAACCTGGACTCGGAGCTTCAGCAGAGAGCCTGCGAGTACTTGACACTTGTGAACATGCAAACGGATGACCTTCTGCGAACAGTCTGCGACGAAATGCCTCCTTTCCCTGAAAGACAGTCCGCGCTTCTTTCCAGGTTGCACCAGAAGCATGCCAACACAAGCGATCGAAGGACTTGGGTCGTGGGAGGAAAGGACGCCAATGCTGATGCCAGAGAACTTAGCATGGGAACAGGAGCACTTAAGAGGACTTTCAGTTCCAACATGCCACTGAATGGTAAATCGAACGGCCAGGCCGCGAATGCAGCTGGTACGAACGGCCACAGCAATGGCGTAGCCGACCTGGCTGGCCTCGACCTCAACGCGCCCACACCATCCGAGCCAAAGATGCTCAAGGCCCCTAACCTGGCCAGCGCAGCTCATTTGTCACCGGGGTGGGAACAGGGGTTCAACAAACTGCTGGTTCGGTCGGACGGTGTGCTCTACGAGGACGGCCAGCTGCAGATTGGTGTTCGATCCGAGTACCGTGGCCAAATGGCTTGCTTGATCACTTACTTCAAGAACAAGACACCGGCAACCATAAGTTCTTTTACAACAACCTTGGACTTGGACGAGAACGAGAAAAGCAACCTCACCTGGGATGTCAAAAACCTTCCCGACAGCACCATCGTGCAGGGTGGACAGTCTCAGCAAGTTGTCATGTTCGAGGCAAAGAAGATATTTGAGAAGTGCCCTACTGTACGCATCAGCTACCTGGCTGGTGCCCTTCAAGCACTGACCCTGAAGCTTCCTGTGGCGATACACAAGTTTATGGACCCGGCAGAGCTTACTGCCGAGGACTTTTTCAAGAGGTGGAAGCAGATTGGTGGTGCACCTCGCGAGGCACAGGCCATCTTTGGAGTCAATGGCAAGGGTGATAGACAACTCACAGAGAGCTTCGTCACCAAGACGGTAGAAGGATTCAGATGGCGCGTGCTAGACATGGTGGATCCCAACCCAAAGAATGTCGTTGGTGCGAGTGTGCTTCACACATCCCAAGGAGGCAAATTTGGCTGTCTTATGA